ACAACAGAAGACATGCAATTTTATTAATAATTTTTGTAAGTGCTTAGACAGATAATCGATAAAGTTTCCTTTAATAGTATTCTCCAGCCAATTTTTTTTTTCCAAGTCGGTTATCATTGATACATAATTAATTTTTAATCCTGCCAAGCTCATTTCCAATCCTGGCACAAGTACAAGCGTTACTTATAAGTCTAATCTCGAACAAATAGCCCATTCAGTGTAATCTAGAATGATGGAAGGCACAGTCACATCCTCTCCATCTGAATCTTCGCTTCAGTCAAACCACACAGTACGTGTTTCGTTTCGTTACGTGGTCAGTAGCCAGACTGGAAGATCTCACACACGTTCGAGAGCATCGTATCTGTAAATCACAATAGCCATTATGTGTAAATTAGGGTAAATAGGCTACGGATTCTCATCTAAAATTAGATAATAAACTGTACTCGAATTGAATGTTTTAATATATAGCAATCATTTAAACATCAAACAGGTTTCTGTACTTTTATGATAAATCAAAGAGCTGTGATTATTATATCTCAAGGATCATTCCTTTGATTTATTGTAAATTTTTGCCTTTTATTATGTTCTTTAAAGCTATTTAAAATTTTAGAAATAAGCTTAAAGTGTCTGCTCTATTGAATTTTAACAATGAATTGTTTGGTAAAAACATTGTGTTGCATAAACGAATCTATAGGCTAAATGGTTTCTTACAGATTACAAGGAAATTTGAAATTCTAGAATTTAATGGTAATGTTAAATAAAAATAATTAATAAAGGACCGCTAAGGCAAACAGGGGGCCTACTATACCCCAGGCCCCTTGTTCGCTCCTGTATAAGCTCTCAGCAGCTCTGATTATAGCAAGCATTGCTATTATTAATTACTATGGCAAATTCTTATATTAAAATTGTTTTAAAAAAAGGATTTAAAAAATAAAATAAACTTAAAAATTTTAAAAGAATCTATTATTTCTTTTATATACTAAATTCTTAAGTTAAGCATAAAATAACGGACATAATTAGGTTATCTAATATGCTAATTATACACTAAACAAGTTTTTTAATTAATGTTTTTTAATATAATAGGTTTAAATACATTAAACATTTCCTTCATTTATACATAAATAAGTTTACTAAATGCATCATGCGATTTTCGCTAATAATAAATTCCATTAAAAATATTAACACTTAATTCATAATTTCAAAGACATAAATCAAATTACTATAAGCTAATATAATTATAAGTTATTAAGTATTTTACTCAAGTCAAATGATTAGCGAAATATTATCAGAGTTTTGATACGTCTATAATTTACTTTCGCTGTCATTAATTAAATTTGCCTTTTATTTCGCTCAAGTGGTTTGAAACAAGATTCTCTCATCCAAATCGACATCACGATTTTGAATTGGACAAGTAGGATAAAAATTGATGGCTAAAGAATCGATGCTAACAAATAGATCTTAGAATGGTATCAAAAATGTTTCTTTCCAACAGCGGATTCCTTCAGCTTCACAAAAGATTTGTCTTGATTATTTCAAGACGAGTAGAAATTGTTTCCATCCATCAACTATGTATAGCAGTGTTTTGATCACTTGATCCTTAAATTATATCTAAAGAGAAAAGGAAATATCGAGCTGAACTATATTCGTATCAACCCAAATCTAAACTTAAATTTAAATATTTTTATCGGTGTTGAATTGTGGACAAGAGAATTTTTATCGAAAATTAGGGTTGCCAGATTCGCCGCTTTTCCGGGATTGTCTCGGATTTTTTCCGAATTCCATCTAGAGACAGGAGGACTTTATTCTAAAACGTCTCCTTTCTTTTTTTTCCACATTTTAAATGTATTTCTGTCACTGGCAAAGTTAAAATGTACATCTATTGCGTGCCCTGAAACTGGAGAGTTCCGGTATCTTTCGGGAAGAACTCATTTTGTTCCGGATTTTATACCTAAGTATCTGGCAACCCTATGTAAAAACAACAAGAATAAACTGCAGAAAACGGAAAACTAACTGATAATCATAAAAATATCGAAAAAAAAATAGAAAAAAAAAACGAAAACGAAGGAAGAACGGCCGCGTATTATCTACTGTAATAGATTGCGCAGTTGATTTTTCAATTATTTAAATTTTTATTTTCTTTCTTTTCCAACGTTATTATTATGCGCACTCGACTTAAGTATCTTAATAATAAATTAATTGATTAATCAGATTCGTATTTTCCTGACTCTAAGCTTTAATAATTTTAATTCCTCGTAAGTTCTCTACAATATTTCATCCACGTATATTTACCACCAGAGGCGCCTCTACGTTAGTACCATTTCAAAAATTATTTTTTGAGTTAAATTAAATTATATTCAAGTTAATTAAAATAATTAACTCGTTTCATTTTATATTTTTAACGGCCACCGATGACTTTTTATTACTTCTTAGTAAAAAAATTAACAGTTTATTTTTATTTTCCTAATGTATTATTAACGTTTTCTAGCACCCGATCTGCATTTCAATATTAATCTGATAATGCATTAACGTTCTTGTTCGAAAATACTACTGTATTTATACAATGTAAAAGGCCTGAAGGTGACAAACAACAACAGTAACTTTTTTAACAATCAAACACACAAGAACAGCACAAAAAACACCCGAAAACATTGGCAATATAAGGGATGACAGAGAAGTTATTTTTAATCAAAAAATAATATACAACTAGAAAAATCATATATATTATTTTAATTAACTACCATTTGAAGGCAAATATATACAATTACTACCCTGGTCTCACTTGAAACACATCAGTTATTTTAATAAAAAAATAAATTTTCTGTCTCCTCGTCATCATCCCTTACATTACCGATATTTTTTTGGGGTTGATTTTATTTAATAGAAGAAAAATAAACCTTGATATCGAGCGAATTGTACTGTCGCATACAATTTTTAAATCCGACTATATTAAACATATATATATTTTTTCCTACCTTTAAATATGATTGACGTGTGTTGATATAAAACATCTATAAATTATAGGTTACTTTTAAAATTTTATTCCAGTTTTTAAATTTGATGCAGCGAAAAAATAAATAAGACTATTCGTGCACAATTTAAAAGGAAAACAAATTTAAATAAAAACTTATTTCTCATTCATTCGTATTCAAAAAAAAAAAGGAGCGATTCTTTACATTCTGAATTCTTAAATAACTTAAAATTAGCGAGAGAAAAATAGAGTATAATGCCTATTATATTTATAATAACATAATTAAATTTAGCATTAACTTAATTTTCTTTAATACGCCGAAAACTATGAAAACGTCTTGAATCTATCATTGAACTCTAACAAAATTAAACGTTAAAGAAGACGTGAAAGAAAGTTTAGAGATAACGTAACTAAACTAACAACGCTTAAATATTTTCCAAAAAAAAAAAGGAAAAAAGGAAACAATTTAGTCTACTGACGTGATTGAAAACGTGGAAAAAAAAACCGAACAAGTCAAACTTAATTGATTTTAATTATATAAAAAACAAATAAAACTTCACTATAAAAGAAAATTGCTTTTGAACTAGTGCAAGAAAAAACAGTTAATATCTAGGATGGATCGTTACCGTGAGCAGGGGTTGAGTACAGAATCCTTTGGTTTTTGTGGGAAGAATGTAATGATCAATAAAGAGCGAAATAACTTGAAAAGGATACAAAGCTCTTTAAATGATCTATTGTAAAGGAAAGAATTTAATTTTAAAAACTTTCAAAAAAATCAGATAAAGATAAATCGTAATGTTTAAAAGATATTAAGCGATTGAAAATCTGCGTATTATATACGGTATATAATTGCGTTATTTCATTTCTATTTGTTGAGAAATATAAAGATTGGAAAAATGTGATGGACGTCAAAAATTATAAATCTCATGAATTATTAGTGAGCTGTCAATATTGATATGAGTATAATATTCATTGATTTTATACGCTTCCTAGAATCGTCGGCTAGAAATGTAACCATGACAACGAAAAAATCAACTTTGGATTTCGGAATATTTATCAAACATTATTTTTAATCTAGTGATCAATTATTATATAAATNTTTCACTTGTGTGTATATATATATATATATAAAATACTTTATCCTGAATAAAAATCCAAATATATTTTTTATCATTCATTAATGCTTTAAAACTTTTATTCTCTTTCGCTACATTAAATAACCTTTTTTTTAAATCCAAATTTTATGTTAAGTATATTTTCTATAGAAAATATAAAAAAGTAAACGAAATCAATAGTCAGAAAGACATAAAAATTATATAAAATCGACTTTTTTAAAGTATAGATTCATGTTAAGCTCTTATATAAATAGTTATAAATAATTATTATTCATTTATATATTAACTAAAATTAAATGTTCTTAACTTTAGATTTATTTAACGTTATATCATAAATATATTAATCGTAAAACATATAAATATTTAATTAACTGTTTAACAGCTTATAAGAATTTTATAAATCGTAAATTTATATGATAATTTGTGACTGATTAAATAAAGATGATCGATTTTAAGCGCTCTTATAAATTGCGAATTTAAATATGGTTATCGGAGTTATATATGTGAGTGTGATGACTTGTTACATCGCCCGAGTCCATTTGAAATATTGTAGCAATGTTAAAGTTTGCTCTTCTGCTGAAAATCAATATTTTACTTTGAATGTTAAAATTGCTTCCCTCTAGCTACTGTAGAAAATATATTACAAAAACATGAGAAAAATGCAATTCAGAATCCGATCGAGATATATGGAGTGCAATTCTTGATGTATAGAAAAAGCAATTCGAAGAGACGAGAAAATTAATATCGCTGTTAATGTTATATAAAATTTTTATATTATTTTATTATTTCTGCAAAATTGAAAGGATAAAATAAAAAGACGGCTTCTTCTATCATTATTTGTCGAATTTGAATAATTTGACAGGCGGAATTTTTTTATTAAGAAAAATAGCAGGTGGCGCTGTTAATTTCATTTAAAAATGGCTGCCTCCGGAGACGATAACGTGGTTCAGTACATTGTTGTGAGAAAAGATTTGTTGAAGACTTTGAAATGGCCTTTAGGAGCTGTAATTGCACAAACTTGTCACGCAACAACAGCTGTTTATCATTTATATAAAGATGACCCTTACGTAATTAAATATACGTCAGACCTTGATCGAATGAGGAAAGTGGTTTTAGAAGTGAGTCAAAATAAAATATGTTGATGAAAATCTTATTCAGAAACGTTATTTAAATTTAATTTATTATTAATTATGATAAATAAAACTTAATAAATGTTACTTAAGTAACTTATGTACAGTACTTATACAGATAAAATGTTTAGTACAGTACATATACACTGTAATGTTATAAAGTTTTCATAATAATCTCTTTTTCTAAATATAATAATTGTTGAAATGAAATTCAAATAAAGTATTTGCACACCTTAGTGAATACATTTATCTGTAAAGGAATTTTGAAAACTAACAACCTTCCAATCATCTGTGGTCACACACCTTAATGTAGACATTAATCAGTAAAAGCATTGGTATTTTGGAAAGAGTCCAAAAGTAAAGAAACTCAGTAAATTTGATGAACACAAATTTACTTCAAGAATGAAAAAATTTCAGATAGCATGCATCATAAAACATATTCAGCACTGTTCAGTTGATTATAAATTTATAAAATTATAAAATTTGAGACTACATCATTTAGGCTGGCCAAAAATACTAATAATCAAAAAGAACAATAGATATTGAAAGAAGCGAAGAAAAATCCTAATTAGTGCATTGATCTGGCAAGTGACATTGCTTTAACATTGGAAAAAGGTATATATAGAAACAATAAGAAAAGTTATCAGGAAAGTAGTGAAAAATCATTCTTGAGTGAACAATAGAGTTAAATGCCTAGATTTTGCTACAGCTTATCTAAACAAATAGAATACTGAAAACCTGTCATATTTTCTGATTAATGCAACTTTAATTTATTTTTGTTTGATGGAAGAACAATGGTCTGGAGAAACTAAATATAGAATTAAATAAAGTTCAGTTCCTACAGTAAAGTATAGAAATGGTGGACATGTTTGGGGTTGCATGTCATACACTAGATTAGGAAATCTGTTATTTATTGACAATATTATGGATAACAAAATAGATTTAATGATAAATATTACAAAAATAAAAAGAAAGTGTTCGATTTTCAATGTCCAGCTCAGTATTTATCAAAAAAAGCCTGAGGAAGAGCCCAGAAGGGGCGTCAAAAATGTTAGCTGAAGTATTATACATACACTCAGGTTACGAGGTTGAAAGTAAGAGTTATTTTTAGATTTAATGATATTGCATGATAATATAGTGGAAAGTACAAGAGAAATGGGATAAGAGAATGATTTCATTTTCCAGCTGTACAATCCTCAACATACTGCCAATATTGTAAAAGAACGGATGCTTTATAAATTAAAAGAAAAACTACTCCACCCATCCTAAAGTCAAGAAATCAACCCCATTAGAAATTTATGGCATGTTTTGGATCTAAACTTAAAACAGAAGATAATTAAAAAAATAATCTCAGGAAATATTTGATAAATATATAGAAAAACCAATTTGAAGAGACGAGAAAATTAATATTGCTGTTAATGTTATATAAAATTTTTATATTATTTTATTATTTCTGCAAAATTGAAAGGATAAAATAAAAAGACGGCTTCTTCTATCATTATTTGTCGAATTTGAATAATTTGACAGGCGGAATTTTTTTATTAAGAAAAATAGCAGGTGGCGCTGTTAATTTCATTTAAAAATGGCTGCCTCCGGAGACGATAACGTGGTTCAGTACATTGTTGTGAGAAAAGATTTGTTGAAGACTTTGAAATGGCCTTTAGGAGCTGTAATTGCACAAACTTGTCACGCAACAACAGCTGTTTATCATTTATATAAAGATGACCCTTACGTAATTAAATATACGTCAGACCTTGATCGAATGAGGAAAGTGGTTTTAGAAGTGAGTCAAAATAAAATATGTTGATGAAAATCTTATTCAGAAACGTTATTTAAATTTAATTTATTATTAATTATGATAAATAAAACTTAATAAATGTTACTTAAGTAACTTATGTACAGTACTTATACAGATAAAATGTTTAGTACAGTACATATACACTGTAATGTTATAAAGTTTTCATAATAATCTCTTTTTCTAAATATAATAATTGTTGAAATGAAATTCAAATAAAGTATTTGCACACCTTAGTGAATACATTTATCTGTAAAGGAATTTTGAAAACTAACAACCTTCCAATCATCTGTGGTCACACACCTTAATGTAGACATTAATCAGTAAAAGCATTGGTATTTTGGAAAGAGTCCAAAAGTAAAGAAACTCAGTAAATTTGATGAACACAAATTTACTTCAAGAATGAAAAAATTTCAGATAGCATGCATCATAAAACATATTCAGCACTGTTCAGTTGATTATAAATTTATAAAATTATAAAATTTGAGACTACATCATTTAGGCTGGCCAAAAATACTAATAATCAAAAAGAACAATAGATATTGAAAGAAGCGAAGAAAAATCCTAATTAGTGCATTGATCTGGCAAGTGACATTGCTTTAACATTGGAAAAAGGTATATATAGAAACAATAAGAAAAGTTATCAGGAAAGTAGTGAAAAATCATTCTTGAGTGAACAATAGAGTTAAATGCCTAGATTTTGCTACAGCTTATCTAAACAAATAGAATACTGAAAACCTGTCATATTTTCTGATTAATGCAACTTTAATTTATTTTTGTTTGATGGAAGAACAATGGTCTGGAGAAACTAAATATAGAATTAAATAAAGTTCAGTTCCTACAGTAAAGTATAGAAATGGTGGACATGTTTGGGGTTGCATGTCATACACTAGATTAGGAAATCTGTTATTTATTGACAATATTATGGATAACAAAATAGATTTAATGATAAATATTACAAAAATAAAAAGAAAGTGTTCGATTTTCAATGTCCAGCTCAGTATTTATCAAAAAAAGCCTGAGGAAGAGCCCAGAAGGGGCGTCAAAAATGTTAGCTGAAGTATTATACATACACTCAGGTTACGAGGTTGAAAGTAAGAGTTATTTTTAGATTTAATGATATTGCATGATAATATAGTGGAAAGTACAAGAGAAATGGGATAAGAGAATGATTTCATTTTCCAGCTGTACAATCCTCAACATACTGCCAATATTGTAAAAGAACGGATGCTTTATAAATTAAAAGAAAAACTACTCCACCCATCCTAAAGTCAAGAAATCAACCCCATTAGAAATTTATGGCATGTTTTGGATCTAAACTTAAAACAGAAGATAATTAAAAAAATAATCTCAGGAAATATTTGATAAATATATAGAAAAACCAATTTGAAGAGACGAGAAAATTAATATTGCTGTTAATGTTATATAAAATTCAAACAAAGATTGCAAGAAGTGGTTGGACGTAAAGAACTTCATTCAAAGTATTAAGAACTTAAAAGAACACTGTTAAGAACTGCTGATTCAAAGTGTACAAATACTTTATTGACTCACTGTACATAACTTTTTACTTATAAAAACAACTCACAATATGTACATTTTATAGCATTTCTTTAAATAAATCATTAATAATTAATTATCATTGAGCTCTTAAATTTTTTTTGAAAATTGTTTTAAAAGGTTTTATCAAAAAAATTTATATGTAAATGTGATTATATAAATCTCTAGTAGTAAAATGCAATGTTGTCATTTTTAATAATTTATTAGAAAAAATAATAATGTGTTGAGTAATACTATAGATAGTAAAACATTTATAGCAAATTATTAATTAGAAAATGAATATTATATAAATAAATTGTTATATTTATTAAAAATAGGAATAGTACAAGATTTACATGATGCATATTTAATATGTATTTATTCAATGTATATTATTATTATGCATATTATTTAATTCAAAAATGAATAGTGTTGCAAATACATTATGAATTTACTAATGATCTATTTATTTTTAAGTAAATGTTTAATTTAAAGTTATTTTGTAATTACAGACTGAAGATGAAATAGCCCTAAGGAAATTATCCGAAGAATTACAAAATGATAAGATAGATCATAAAATATGGATTGAACAACCAGAAAATTTTGCAACTTGTTTAGCAACTAAACCTTATCCAAAATCTATAGTTCAACATTTCTTTAAAAAACTTAAATTATTTAAATAGATTGTAAGTTAATATTGAAATCAAAATATTTGAATTTTTATAAATAAATTTATTATTTTTGTACATAACATTATAATTTTATAATGTAATTTAATTAATGCAAACATTTAAATCAATTTTATAAAATTTAAAGAAGTGTACACATCTTATTCATTCTTTTTATTTTGAATCCTTATTTAATACTTATAATAATTAATAAACATATGCTTATTTTTAAGAAGACAAACAAGAAACAGAAACAATAAACAATTTCAAAAGTTCTGAAAATATTTATTGGTAATTTTTCTTTTTCAGTTTCTTAAAAATAAACAGGTATTTGTTGTTAAGACTTATAAACTTTTAGTTTTTGAAGAAGCTTTTTCTGTATTAACATTTTTAAAAAAATGAATAATTTTAAATGTAAAACAATTAATACAAAGTTTAATTATGTCATTTGTTACAGTTACATAAAAATTTCTGTAATGATTAATTTTTATGAATAGTTTCAATCTTTTATTTGAATAAAATAATTATGAAAAGTTACTAACAAGTGATACAAGAAAATTGTTAAAAATGAAAATTAAGAATAGATTTAGTAGTAATAGAGAATAGATACAATATTAGAATTTAAATCAAAATTAATTTGTATAAATTAATATTTATCCTTTAAACTTTTATCAGATTTTAACAATGTTGAAGTTTTATTATATAAAGTAGTGTGCCAAAGAAGCTATACATCTCCTCAATCTAGCATAACTTATTTCAACAGAATGGTTTGATTGCCTAAGGGAGTAACATTATTCAGTTTATGAATAATATAAATAAGTTGAGTAATAATTGATTTGTAATGATAAATAAATAAAATATTAATCAACATCCTGTATTGTTAAAAATATAAAAAAATTTCCTAATTAAAAATAATTAATTTTTGAAAGTATTATTCTTTTCCTCCCTAAGGTCATCATGTATACTTTGGTTAAATTATCTTGTAATACTGTTTATTATTTGTATACAATATATATATAAACTGAAATATGTAGAAACTTATGTAATTTTTGACTTAAGAAACCTTTTGAATATACTGAAAATAGATTCTTTTAATTTGCTTAACTAATTACCAATTCTCCCAGTTATAAATTACTGTATTTCACATAGTTATTCAGTGAAAAAATAATAATTTTATTAAATATTTATCTTAATGAAATAATACAAAATCACATGATATTATTGGTGTTTGAAACTTGCTACAAAGATGTGGAATATTTGATGGAAAGTTGCTGCAGGTTAATAAGTGTTTTGTTTGGCTGTTAGTTTTCTTTCATTCATTATGAATTCTCGAAAATTATGTCATAATTATCATCAAACGTAGAATATATAAAATAATTGTAATACTATGGACACAAACATGTAGTGATTAATGCATAGTTAATATATTGGGTTATGAGGTAATTTAATGATTTACGTTGAAAACGTTAAACAGAGCAAATATCTAAAATACATTTATATAATTTCGTATATAATATAAGTTGCAATGCAGTTTTAAATAAAATTTTCTGTTTAATAAACTAATGGTGAGCAATAACTTTCTAATTTGGAAAATTTTATAAATTTTAAATTAGTTTTTAAACGATAAATAATAATTTGATTTTTAGCACAAGAGATTCTTTAAGATGTAATTTGCATTATATACAGTTCTCAAGCATATAAAGTATTTAAATGATAGTAATAACAATAATTGTAGGAAATGCCACATGATGCACGAAATTTTGCAACATATGATAGTTACTTATTCCAAAATCATTCGGAGTGTATGGATGGAAGAAGTGATTTTAGGAAGAAGGCTACTTGAAAGAAATGGAAGGTAGAGACAAATATTAAAACTGATGACTTACCACGGGAAAGGTTCGTTCATGTATGGGCAAAGAATCCATCCCTAGATGAATTGTTGATTGTTTTAAGGCAAAGAATCTGGTGATGACTCACGTGGATGTTTATCCACGTGAGTCATCACCAGATCGTCGCCTCCAGTGAAGAATGTGGAGACGAAATGGCGGATTCTGACGCTAGGTCAGAAAATCGGAGATAGAGTTGATGGTGAGTTTGGCAGACGGAAAGACGAAATGAATGGAATTAACACAGTGTGCAAGGCTTTAAGTAAATTTGGAAGAGTTCGTAATTGTTCGCCTATTGCTTGTCCGAAGTCTCATATCATCTGTTCTGCTAAAAGGATAGTTCGTTTGGCGATGCATACAGATGTCCCGAACTTCTTGTCAGTAAATACTGTGATAATTCGAATTATCATGGTGTGAAGAGGCAATGTGCTAAATTTCGTGGGATTAGACCTCTGAGCAAAAATTGCCAGAAGTTAAATGTGCAGGAGAAGAGATTATCCACAGGAGGAAGGGAAACAAAGGAGGAGAAAGAAGGCAACAGTTGAACAGAATAAAGATGAAAGTAGTAATCAGTTAAATGTTTTCATAACTTGGACAGTTAGAAAGGAGAGGCAGAGAAAAAGAAAATAAGGTGATTGAAGAGGGAAAGGAAGAGACGAAGAAAGCAAGAATTGGAGAGAGAAAGAGGAGAATGAAAGTACAAATGAAAGAACAAATGAGAAAAAAATAGGATAGTAGTGAAACGGATGGTCAGGTATTTTCAGAACAATTTGAGAATTTTGGCCTATTTGACTACTTAAATCGACCTAACAAAATAGCAAATATAATAGGTCTATATTAGGCGCACACGCACAAATAAAAACTACTGCAGTACATATCCAGGAGGAACCATACTATTACTACACGCTTCAGACGGTCATAGAAAACAACGCGCACAAAATATACTACGACCAATCTATAATCACAGACAAAACAATTCATCATAAGATACCAGACATCACATTGACAAACAAAACAAAATCACGCATCGTAAATACAGCTGATACAAAATAGCCACAACACACAAAATACATACTCTGAAAAATTAGTAAATAATCAGAACTCTCCCATCAAAAAAAGGTCTGTGAAGAATGGATGTGGTACTTATTGTGTCAGTAGTACTTTTTTCATAGACATCATACCACATACATTACGTAAGTCTTGAAACAACAGCAGGTACTATACTGTACAGTACAGTACATTATACTACAGAACGCTGCCATACTAAACACATGCCATATAGCCAGGAAATTCTTGTATTCGTGTTTGTGTGTAAACTCACACAAACACGAATACATACATCTACAGCACATAACTGCAGAATAACTTATTAATATATTTATGTCGATTCTGGTCCGGCATAACGCTAGGGACAAGTATATATGCCCTGTAGGATACCCTGTAGGATGCCCCATTTGCACTACAATAATAATAATAATGGCTTAGAGATTGCTTTAATAAATTCTTTTTAACGGCTAAAAAACGTCAGATATTAATGGAATTAAATAAATGGAAAAAAAATAAATAAATAATGGAGTCAAATAAGTTTTTGATCCAGCTCTCGAGTCAACTCTAATGTGAATTGAGTCAAAGAAGTATGTCAGCAAAAAGAGTCACTTTTTCTCATCTCTAACTCACTCTGCATAGTACAGTTTATATATCCTCATGGAACATTCTATATGCAATTTGTTCATTTTTTATTTATAAACTGAAGTTGTTGTTATATAATAAATTAATGAAAAGTTTTTTCTTTTAATTAATCTCATTGGTGGCATTCTTTTTCAAAAGTATTATTTGGACTGCAATTTGAAAAATTGTAGGCCTATAAATTCCCACTGTCACCTGTCTGTCTTTCCTTCATTTCGAGGTTGGTTAGATGAAAGTAGAGACTAGTTATGGAAAGCTTAGAGGTAGAAGACCCCGATTAACTGTGAACTTCGGTATAAACCAGAAGTCACATGATTTCAATTAAACGATTTTTCCCCGAACGGAGTAACATAGATGACCAGCGTGACTCTGTTGTTATCAGGAAAAATGTGATGTACAGGGGCAAGACACTGAAAATTTGAGATTGAGAACATATTAATTTTTTTGAATTTAAAATATATGATTGAAACTTGCAGCCTGTCATTGTGATCATGTCACAATGAATAATTGCTCGTTTTTAAATCTCTCTCTATCATATAGTACGGGATTCAACATATTCAGACCGACCATTTTTCGAAAAATTTCTGGAATTTTTCCAACCCTTTCGGATTCGGAGCGTTAAGCTACTACATTAGCCGTTCGACCATCCGGCCGCGCATTGATAGTAGCATGAACAAGACTTCGGTAATTTGAGTTCGACTGAAAGTAATTTCGAATCTCCGAACAATAACGATTAAATATTATGGGACCTGTATATAAGTTCATAGGCTCTGACGCTGTTTATAAGTTTTGACATTGTTCTTTTCTGTTCTAATTTATTAACCGCTCATCTTGAGTTAATTAAGAGAGTACATTTATTTTTATTTTTTTGTATGTGAATTAAAGACATAGTTTTATTACATATGAGTATTGAAACGATCCTATATCTGCCGTCCTTTTACGGCACCACTAACTTTTTGTTGCAAGGATATAAAGATGAGCGAGTATATTTTTTGTTACCCGAGTTCGAATTCAAAGTTCTGAATATACTCCTCTTAAACGAGTCTACTGCTGGGCCGTCCGTGCTTAATAACGCAGAACTTATTTCCTACACGATAGCCGAATGGTTCAGGTGTCAGCCTACCGCTCTGGGATCCGGGATCGAATCCGACTGGTCGAGAAACCTCAAATTTTTCGGCAGTAGTCTGTCCGGATATAACCCGGATCGTCATCACTCGGTAGGGCACAACAATGGGTTTGGCTTCCCCATTGTTGGCCACGCCAAATCCATAATGGGGTTGCTAAAAGAAAGGACCTTTTAGTGTGTGCAAGGCAGAAAAAATTAAAAAGGTATTAACTACCTAGAAAGTACTTTAGAATATTACCACTAAATATTAATCCTATAATTTTATGAGATTCTTATTGATTAAATGAGCCGTTTATTTTGAAAATGGGGCAAGTCCAATTTTTGTTATTGCGAGATATTTAAAGGTTTGCATTTCAATAAATTTAAAAATATTGGTAAGTATTAATAGATATATTTTTAATATTTTGTGGTACCAGATAATGTAAGTTTATAATCCAATAGTGTTTACAGTGCTGACAAAAAAAAGTAAGAGTTTCATTATAACTAAATGGACTTGCCTCACTTTCAAAATTAATGAATTATTGTAATCGTTCATTTAATTGGGAATTTTTTCAGTTGCATCAGCCTTTTTTTAATAATAAAAACAAAATACTATTCAAATTTTTATAAATATTTATTCATTTGATAAAAAGTGAAACAAAACAAAGAATATTCTAGTAGAAAATATAACATAACAAAAAAAATTCAGTTTTATTAAGAATTTCAATCAAATTATACATTTTCAGTTTATACGTAGGTATAACTAAATGAATTTTATTCAGGATTTAACATTTTAAAATATTCATGATGAACGGGAAGTATATATGATAATAAATCCATCGTGTCCTTGTATTTTTCAGATGTAGGCTAATAGATCTCCTTTTTTCATACAGAAACGATAACTTTATATTTCTGAAATTACTTGTTGTGGTGACAAATCGATAATTTTAAATTCAGCATCTCGTTCTATCGAAGTTTTGTAGAACNTCCCAAAAAATTATACGTGTTTTGGAAATGTTGAGTGGAATTAGTCTAGAATCGGTTAATTTTATAGAAGAAAACCTTTCGAACAGCCTTAGTCCGTAAAGTTCCCACCTATCGGGCTGCGATTGGCTCATGTATTTAATCATTCCTACAACGTAAAATTCGATTAGCGTGGAACGTATCTAAGCATTATAGGGGGTATACTGTATACAGTAGTCATAAACTGCTACTATATCCATTGTTAATAAAATACGTAAATCACTAAAAATGGATAAGTAACAAATGCACTTACTTTCTTTATGCACATTACAATCAAGTTTAACTGTATATCATCTAATAATTAAAATTAAAAATATATTGAAAACTTGATTTCATGCAAAGCAAATATCTATATTGATGAAAATGTAATTTATGAATTAAAGTGATAATTATAAAAACTATTGAAAAATTAATCCAGTCTCTCTAAGATTGACTGAATTAAGAATTCTGAAAAAAATTTAATAAAAATGGATATAAAGTATTCAGTTATAAATAATCTGAGTAGAATAAAGTTCGTAATGAATAAGATTATAAGAATTTTTGAAATTATATAAAAAGCATTGATTAAACTAATTAAAACATCTGATTGGAATAAAATAAATAAAACAACAATGTAAAACTGTAATCATGGAAATTATTTAGATTTTTTTCATTTGACAGTTTGTTTGACATTGCTTTCCTTTGCATCATACTGCTTCATTGTGTAGGGATTGAAAAAATGCTAAATGAAAAATATTAAATTAAAAAACACTAATAAAGTAATAAACTTTCAAATTGCAGCCCAAACAAGTATAATAACCATAAAGTTCTCAAAATTTAAATGTTAATTGTTGATATTGAAGGACTATTAATTCTAAACAAGATTATTTGCTGTATTGTCTGTAAGTATCCTGTCCACGAGCAAAAGAATTTTCCCTTTTTGCTAATAAAGTTAATAAACAACAATAATAATATTAGTTGACATTTAGGTATAACTGCATTCATAACTATTATATTAGAATTATTACTTTCTGTGATTAATAAAGGTATATTTTTTTTGTTATATAAAGGTTTTTGAAGTAATTTAATACTCAAATGACAACAACAACAAAAATTTTGTTGTTACCTAATTGCCAAATTTAGTTTCATAAATTAAACAAAAGAAGTTAATCATTACAAATTTTTAATGCACAGAAGTATCACAAAAGTGTCTTCTTTAATTTGAACATCCTTTTACACACTTCAAGAACAAACAGTCCTTATAGCAGAGTCGACCTTCTTTTATAGGCTACTTTCCCTGCCTCAATATGTAAAAACAGTAATAAAATATTCCCAAGCTACAGCACAAGTATATAAATTAATTTACATTTTACTTAATTATGCACAAATTATAAAGTTTGGTAATTAAATTTCAGTATTGAATTCATTACAAATATGGAGCATGTAGGAACAAAATTCATCGTGTCCATGACAGTTAATCAATTCCATTCCTCTGGTCATTCGTCTTTCGCCTGCAGTGGCATTAGATATTTTGTTAAGTGCAAATCTCTGCCATTGTTTATAATGATAAATCAATCACTACTACTTTATTTATCATTAGAGACATTAAATTTTGTCTCAAGTTAAACAAAGTGCGATTGAAATACACAATAAAGTAGACATCACGTACTATACTGTATATCCAATTACGTATCAATATTTTGAAACGAATGATTAAAAAAAAATCAAAAAGTAATATTAATAACGATTTTTAAAGCTAAATAAATTAGTGAAGAATAATTTCTTTAATAAAATCAAATAGTGAATGAGTAGTAGTATAAAAGAACTCAATAAGATCTTCATTTTTGAGAAGAGTGTTTTCTGCTGTATAGCAATGTCCAAAATTACTTTATAATAAAGATTAACAAGTTTTTATCAGAGCACAGTTATTTTGCAGAAATAAATTATTCTGACGATTTACCATTGAAAATCATTCTTATTCTCTAATTTAATGCTGAAAGATAAGCGATTTGAGAATGCAAAATTAAGATTAAACTCAACATAATCACAAAAGAATCAGTAACAGTAAACTATAATGCATTTTAAAATACATTTAAATGTTACAATAGACATATGAACACGCACAAAAGCATATAACTTCTCAGGAGATTACCTCGAACGATATTAAATTGTTTTTTCATTTCCCATTATATACAGTAATTCCGTTTAATTAAATGTAAATCTATAATTTAATTAGAATCTAATTATTAAACGTTTTAAGAAATATCACTAAGTGGTTACTACTGAACTATTCATAATCATTGTTGGCTACTACTGATTATAAGTTAAAAAAATTACCTAGTTATGTATATAGTAAACAAATTATATAAAACTTAATCTAATTGGTCCGATCTAATTGGTTTTCTTAAGCGCAACTAAATTACTAAATGCCATTTTTTCAAAACATCAAATATCTCTTTCACTTGAGTAATAAAGCAATAAATTTTCAGATACTTTTATTTGTGTTAGATTTATTTGCAGAGTGATTTATTGCTTATTTGTATGTGCTCATATGTCAGACCTTCTAACAAGCAAACATTCTGATGAAGTAGAGAAGAACGCTATTTGTTTTTCTGTCATAACGTTGAGAATGACAAAGTAAATATTGAAGTCGAAAGTTTCGAAATACGTTTAAGATTGTTTAAATATCCTCATAAGAGAATTCACTGCATCATCTCTATTATCACACAGAAGGCGAACAGTTCTTGTCCAGGATCATCGCTGACAACAAATCTTACTTCTTGCAATCTCATCATGCAGAGAACATCGAAAGCCTTCAACAAAGCAAACGAAAGTTATGTCGATGTTCTTTTTCGATTACTTTCCAGGAGGATCTATTCAGTGCCGGCCCGAGGCAAGTTTTAGGATGGAGCGGGATCCTATTATGGCGCCCCCCTTGGTTGCCCCTAAAGGCTGGTATACACGGTAAGGAAATCCTCAAAGGATGTGCTTAACAGACGAAAAAAACTCGGATATAACTGGCTGGATCGAACATAGTAATTTACAAAACTTATTAAAATATCTCCCAACGTATAAATAATTATTTTTATTTAAAAATGGATAGATAGAAAAAAAAATCACGGTTAATCCTCAAAGGATTTCCTTACCGTGTATACCAGCCTTAATTTATACCCTTTAATTTTCTTTACCACTGAGGCGCCCCCAAGGACTTAGCGCCTGGAGCGGCTGCTCCGTTTGCCCTATGGTAGGGCCGGCTCTGGATCTACTATCAATGCGACAAACTACTGCGAAACGCTCCAAGCCTTACATAGAGCACGAAATAGAAACGCTCAGACTTGTATATCGATGAGGTGGTGCTCTTACATTATAATACATGGTCCAGCATGGTCTGTAAAAGATCTATTAACGAAATGTGATTGAAAAGTGTTGTTACATCCTTCCCACAGTTCTGATCTGTCTCCGTGTAATTTTTACGTGTTTGGCTACAATGGAAAAAAATTAAGGGACGAAAATTTGTAGCGGAAAATTTGTATTTATTTAAAGTGTTTAGCTTTATTTTAAAGTTCTCATTTTTCATAAAACTGCAATGAAAAATTTCAATTAGTTTTGTTTTATAAGTTAAGAGTTGCGTGAGCCTCATCGATCGCAGAGCTAGGGATCCGACACCCTAGCTCTGCGATCCGTTATCTGTTTCTAACTATATGCTGTAACGCAGAATTAAAACTGTAAGCCGCTTTGAATCTTATATACTACATATTTCAAACATATATTTGCTCACTCGATATCATCGGATTTATTATTTAATATCTTTTTTAGGCAAAGAAACAATGTTTGTGGTTTACTTTTTTTTTCAATTCATTCCGCCCTGTGAGCACTAAGAGGGCCTCTTTTAGGAAGCCCATTATATGTTTGGCCAGGACCATAATAGGACGGCTGGTTGGTGAGAGACGGGACCGACACATCCGGTCGGACCAACCCCGAAAAATTTCTGGGGATTTTCTACCCGTCCCGATTTTATCCCGTGTTCCAAAGAGCAATAGCCTGCCACCTTAATCGCTTGGCCATCCGGCCGTCTTGTAATTTATGTTACTAACGTTTTATAAAAATAAATAAATAAATTTTTAAATTTTATAATTTCATTATATAATTTTATAATAAATAAAAATTAATAATATGTACTTAATTTAATTTTTATACATTAAAATATCATAATCAATTTCTAATAATATCGGTAATATGTTATTACAATTATATTTGTCACCAGGGTGCGCCGAGCTTCGTAAATCGAAAAAAAAAATATGGGGAGAAAGTTAAGATGTTATTAATACGATTTTTATATTGTAACTAATTACAAAATGACTCAGTCCATTGTCGTGCAAGGTAAGCTATAATTGTTTTCGTGTTATTTAAAATAATTCAAACGGTATAAAAATAAATATCTTTAAATTTATTATAACATATTCCTGTTTTATTGGTAGTTATAAGTAGAAGTTACTTTTAGATAAATGAACATAAATACATCTATGTGTAATTTATCTAAAAGTAACGTCTACCCTGCAAGTTTTTAAACATAATCTGTTTCATGCAAGATGTATTATTCAAGCCAATTTTCAAACTCTGGAAACATGTATCAACTACTGCTGAATGACTGTGTGTTGCATTTGTAATCTTAGTTTTAAAATCATCCAAAGAATGAGGTTTTGTTGCATAGCAAATGTATTGATGTAACCTCACAAAATAACTCAATAGTATTAGATGGCTGAGCAAGGATTAGATGGCTCTTCCCTTGCTTAGCTATCTGTTTGAAAATCCAGAAAATTAATGCATAAAATGCTTCATTATTTAAGCTTTTAAGTATAATATTTATAAGTTTGTAAACATTTAGGCATTTTAAGTTATGAAAGTTTAAAACTGTGCAAGGATTTTTGAGATACCTTATAGGAGCATTCTGTAAAAGATCTTGCCAGAAATTATAATTAAAGTATATGATTAATTATTATATTAATATTAAAATTATATATTATACTATATCAAAGAAAGTCTGTCTGTCTTTCCTTAAACTTGAGAACAGTGTTGGATAGATGAAAGTTGAGACAAAATTTGGAAAGCTTAGAGGTGTCTTCCTTGACATACAAATTTCTGGTCTAGACTGGAAGTCGTGTGACTTCAATTCAAAAATTTTTTCCGGAACAAAATTACATAGGTGACTGGCATGATTCTTATTATCAGGAAAAGTATGATGTACTGTAAAGAGGCAAGACACTACTAATTTGAGATGAAGAGTGTATATTTTAAATTAAATAAATTAAAAACATGATTAAAGATTGCAGTCCAGTATTGTGACAATGTCACAATAATTTTTGCTCATTAACAATAATATCTGTAATGGCAATAATGATCACTATAAAGTTTTATTTTGAGGTATAGAATATTTTATTATTTTGCTTATTATTATATATAATTAATAATATAATTAATTATA